TGGTGCAATATAGCTTCCGACATGCCTCCAAAAAACTCCAAGAGGGCCACAACACGGCCTCGAGTACTCTCAGAGCCCCTTCGGGGCCCCCCAAGGAAGCGGAAATCTGTCAAAACGTAAGCAAATCAATGATTTTGGCCTTCCCGCTTGATGGCTCCAATATGGCCCAAGACAGCCCCAAGAGGGGCCCAAAAAGGCCCCGAATACGGCCCCAAGAGTGCCCAAGAGCGACCCAAGAGCGGCCCAAGAGCGCCCCAAGAGGCCACTTAGAGGGCTCCCGAGGGGGGGCGCCGAAAAAAGACCCCGCCCTCTTATACTCGATGGTCCCCACGATGGCCCCAAGAGGCCGTACAAGGCTCCCAAGAAGCCCCCAAAAGAGCCCCAAGAGGGCCCCAAGAGGGCCCCGAGACCCCCACAAGAGCCCCAAGCGGACCCCAAGACCATTCAGAAGAGCCCCAAAAGGGCAACGGGAGACCCCCACAGCACCCCAAGAGGCCCCCAAGAGAGCAGCGTCAGCAGCAGCACCGCCAGCAACGCCAACACCACCACTGCAACCAGCACCAGCCAGCAGCAGCACCACTAGCAACAGTAGCAGCACCACAAGCAGAAACATCAGCACTAGCACCAGCAGCAGCACCAACAGCAGTAGGACCAACAGCAGCAGCACCACCCGCACTGCACCCTACTACCAGCAGCGACGCGAACAAGAGCACCAGCAGCAGCACCAGCAACACCAGCAGCAGCACCACCACCACCAGCAGCGGCAGCGGCAGCAGCAGCAACAGCACAGCACCACCAGCAGCAGCGTCAACACCACCATCATCACCAACACGAACAGCACCAGCACCATCAACACCACGAGCAGCGGTATCAATAGCACCTGCAACAGCACGAAGACGACCAGCAGCCCTTTGGCATTGCTTCTGGATGGGCTGGTGGGGATCCGCGAGGCGTAGACAATATCAAATGGGAGCCCATGACGAGACAGAGGCGCTCAGTAGCCCAACGTGAAGAGTGCACCACGCATATCCCTCTTTCTCTCTCCGTCCATTATTTATCAATCTTTCTCTACATACAAGTGTACACATTTATTTATTTATTAGTTTATTTATTCATTTATTTATTTATTTATTATATATGTATGTATATATATATATATATATATATACCTTTTCGTTATCCTTATTATCCTTATTTTCCTGTTCTTCCTCCTCCTCCTCCTCCTCCTCCCTTCTCGTTTCGCCTCCTCCGCGGGGGTTGCGGGCCGCCACCGCGTTTGTTCCCCCCCGCCCTCTTGCCCCCCACCTCCCTGTCGCCCCCCCCCACCCCTCCCCGGCCCCCAACCCGCCCTTCCCCCGAAGTGCGCTGCTGGTACTGGAGGCATCATGCCCGGAGCATACCGTCAACTATGCACTATCGGGATGGAGATGGGAGGGCGTTCGCGATGCCTCTGTTCCAATCATGGTAGCGCGATTGCACGCACGAACGAAACTGCGATTTCACATGCGAACTTCCTTCCCGCCCCGCCCTTTCCCTCAGCAGTGGAACGGCCTGGGCGCGGGTCGTCGGGGCGCCCAAGATGGTTCAACATGGCGATGCGAAGGCCTCGCATCGCCCAAGATGGCTCCCAAAATGGTTCAAGAGAGCCCAACACATGGTTCAATAAAGCCCACGACGAATCTCCCGCCTCGGGGCCGCCCAATGTCACCCCTGGGAAGCTGCAGTCTGTTCGAAACCGAAGGAACAAACTGATGCGTGCGTTTTCGCTTCCGACGGGCGCCCGCGGCCTCAAGACGGCCCAAGAGAGCCCCAAGACGAGCCACAAAAAGGCCCAAGATGGACGTAACAACGCCCCCAAGGGGCCCCGATTGACCAACGGGGCGTTCTGGGGGCATCCGACTGAGGCGGTTGGGGGGGCGCGAATGCCCCCCTCCCGGCCTGGGTCGTGCAAAAAATGGAACAGCTGTCCTGGATATCCCACCGCGCCGGGCTTCTTCCAGGAACAGATGGCAAGCATGCCGGCGTGGTGGAGCAGGGACGCCGCGAAGTCCAGATCGCAGCCTTTGTTCAATTTCCTCGCAATGGTAACGAGCTTGAAGACGCTGGTGGGGGCCTCCACAAGGAATATCATACTGCGTTTCACTTTCGACCTCGGCCGAAGCGAAAGGAGGCCGTGCGCGCGCCGGCACGCGCCACCAACGCTGCTCCAGTGGGACATGCGCCATAGTGTCACGGCGATCGCGGGAACCGACGGGGCCCGAACGCGCCCCCGCACGAGCGGGCGGACATCAAAATGCACGCGCGCACGCGCGACAGAAAGGAAGGGCCGGATCTTTCCCCGAGTCAGATCCCGAGGGCCGGGCGGGGTACACTGCGGGAACATGCCCATCAAGGCCTCTGCGTCCACGATTTTGATCGGGTTGTCACCAAACTTCGGGGGGGCGTTTCCTGTCCCATCGCCCACCACTTTGCCGCCCAGCCACGTGGCGCACAAAGCCGACGAGCGGCCGAGGAAACTCGTCAGGAGGTCGCCGATCTCGGCGTTGGCGGCGCTGACGTCCAGGGACCATTGGTCTTTGACGCCTGCCTCCCTGGCCTCCTCCTCTTTCTCGAGCAGCACCCGCCGCAGGTCCAAGATGTCCATGGATTTCCAGCGCCACCACTCAGCATCGTCTCCAGCTTCCAATGCGGCGTTCTCCATCTTCGCCCTGTGCGCATCCAAGATAATATTCTGGTGGATGGCTTTGCAGAGCGCGTCCACGGGGACTGCGTAACGGCGCACTTTGGTTTTCACCTTGCTCTCGAAAGATGCACGCTTGTGGTCGCCTGTCCGGATCGCGTCTCGTTGCTGCGTTGCGTGGATGGCAAAGGAAGTCTTGAAGTACGTTGAGTCCTGCTTGATGCGCCACAGATTGGTTCTCTGGCTGTACTCTTGGGTCTCGTACGCCTTCCTCGGGGTCGCAGCAAGACTCGGGTACTGGGCGTCGATGATGTCCAGAATGTCAGCCAAAACCGCTACCGCCCATGCAGGATGCGCGTTGGCACGGCAATGAACTGCAACGAAATAGCCATCGTAAAACCCGGGGGAGAGGGGGGCGACCCTCGGGCCTCAAGGTGGCCTAGCCTGGAGCCTACCCAAGGCCCTAAGGTAAACTAGGGCAGAGCCCGCCAGAAACCCCAGGGCAGCCTAGGGCCAGGCAGACCTAAGGCCCGAAGGCCCGCGGGGGGGGCTTAGGGTCACAGGGTGAGCCTATGGGAAATCCTTCGGTCGGGGGAACGCAGACGGGACGCCCTATGGGCAGTGCATATGGGGTAGGCCCGGGGCAAACTTAAGGGGAAGACTTAGTGGTAGACCAAGGGGGCGGCTTCGGGGTAGGGCCAGGGTCAAGCTGGCCAGCTCGAGCGACTCAAGCATGGCATGCCCATTCCCACCCGCACTCCCACAACATAAGAAACGCTGCTGGGACAAATGGGGGCTGCGCGGGCATTTCAGTGCGAGTTGAGGATGCCCCAGGCCGCCACATTGACGTCCGCGCGCGATGCGCGCCGCGTCCCATTCCTGCCACGCATTTCGCATCGTCGACGACAATACAACGCCAGGGCGCGACCAAAGCAAGACGGCCACCCACGACACTCGGGGGTACGCAGCCGGAGGCGAATGAATAGAATATGCCGGCGTCTTGCTCCAGATCGTTATAGTCGTCCAGGTTGGCCACGTCCGTCTTGAACGCGCACCAGTCGAACCTGGAGAATATGCCGAGGGGGTCCTTTCCTGCGGCGAATAATTCGCCCATGTCCTCCACGTGCATCGCAAGGAAAAGCACTGCCCACGGGTAGTCGATCGAGAACTTGGACGACGAAGTGAGAACCGTGTTGCTGAACTCGTCTCGATCGTGCAGCTTGTTGATCGACTGGCCGTCGCAGCCTGGGGCGTCGGCCATGACCTTAGATAGTAGCATTTTGCCCTCGTGGAGAGCGACGAAGATCCGACCGTCATTGCCTTTCATTTTCGCCCCCCAGCCGTACACCGTGCCAGTGTCTGCTGTGAAAGATGCAGAGGCCACCAGTTTCTTCTTGTCGCCGTCGTCCGCGCCCGAGCCTTGGGCCTCGTCAGGGACTTCGTCCTCCTCGGCCATGGGGTCCGCGGCGCCGTCCCCAGGGGCGGCCGGTGGAGGCGCGGCCTCCGCGCCTTGCTTCTCGGCATCTTTCGCCTCTTTCCTCGGGGGGGTGGGGCAAGCCACTGCGGCGGCCGTTGGGGCCCCAGCGAATGCGAAAAAAAACCCAAACCAGGGCGACGGGGGCGGGGGCCCCAGGGATCCACAGGAAGCCCCGATGTCGGGATCCGCGCCGCCACCGCGGAAACTGCGATTTGGGTCGCAGCCGTCCTTTCGCGGCGGCGCCGGCGGTTCACCCGGGTCTGCAGCTCGAGCACCGCCTGTTTGATCAGCCAGACGATGACACTCTTCCCAGCGCCAGTGCGGCCCAGAAGTACCATCCACGGCAAAGGCGGCACTGGTGGCGGTTTTGACATTGCCCCCCCCCCCCCCCAAGAAAAAGGAAAGCTGACTCGCTGTCCGCGCGATGAGGTGGCTGGGGGATGTGCGGACCCAGGGCCCTTTCCAGAACTGCCAATGCGAACGGAAAGCGCAAGTGCAGTTTTGACTAGTCGAGTATATTCGGTTACCGCGTGAGCGCGGCGCCGCGGCACCACGCCCGCGCGAAATGGCACGCGCTCGAATCGACGCTTCTCAATAAACCGAACCCCTCAGGGGCTGCGCGGGCGCAAGCTGCGGTCGCTCAAATGAGGGGGTGGCGGCGGTTCCGGGGGTCTGTTGCCGCGAATGATAGCAGGAAGCCGGAACCGAAACCATAATCCAAACCAGCTGCAAAGCAACGCCGCGCTCAATTTTCCCGCGGCAAGCCTAAAACAGGGACGAAAGCAGGAACGTCCCGCAGGCGCGTTTCGCACAAGCCGCCCGAAAGGGCCTCCGAGCATCGGCGTGTACATCGCAACAGTGCGGTGCATGCTGAAGGACGCGAGGGACACGAGCGCAAGGAATACGAGGCCGAAAGGAACCTGCAAGGAACCTTGGATGCGCTGAATCTCGCTGGCGCTGTTCTCGCCGAGCAACTCCTGTGCAGGAGCTACAAAAAAGCGTCGCTGAGAAGGCCGGCGTGAGCCGCCTGATGGCCTCGAGGCCTTTCCGAGGACGCGGGGCGGAGCTAGATAATGGAAACTTAACCCTGGCGTCCTTGATGCGCTCATCAGGAAACGGGACGGCCTCCAGGTCGTGGTAAAGGTCGTCCATCGTCGACGTCTTGGGGTTCGCGACGACACGGGGAGGCGGCACGGGGCCCTCCTCGTCTGGCAGCTCTTCTGGCGGCCCGCCCAGCGCCACCGCCTCCTCATCCGCCTGCGCTTGCAATTCGGCGAGATGCGCCGCCTGTGAATGGGGGCCGTAGCACAAATGGGCACTATCACGGCGCATTGGCCAAAAGTATTGCGTTTTTTCTCCCACCGAGGCGTTGCGACAACAGCTGGTCGGATAAATTTGGGGCGGGGGGGCCCTGGACAAGAGAAGCGCATCGGTTGAGCAGGAGGTGGGATGGACCGTTTTATGATGCCTCGGCGTTGGCTGCTTGCGTCATCGAGAAGTCGTCCTGGGAGGCCATGGCCATGAGATCTCCTCGGACCGCGGGGCGAGCACAGCAGCAGCGCAGTTGACTTGAGCCTTGAGCCTGCCAGCACACGCACTAGTAAGCAAGGCGGAAAAGAGACGCTGAAGATGACGGTGGTGCTCACGACAACGATGCCAATGGAGACCTTTCCTGACATGAACGGGAAGCGCGTGAAAGGGAAGAGTTGCGCAAGAACTTGCAGCATCATCGCGATCAAATGTAGTGCAGGCGAGCTCTCCGAACGGTCACAAGGGATACGTATGGACACGCGCCTCCCAAACGTTCACAAGCATATTCCTGAGTATCCTCACCACTCCTCCGCATGAGGATGACGACGGCGAAGACGACGACCGAGGAAGAAGGGATAGGAGGAGGAGGAGGAGGAGGAGGAGAAGGAGGAGGAGGAGGAGGAGGAGGAGAAGGAGCAGCATAAGCAGCAGCAGCAGAAGAAAAGGCAAGGAGGAGGAGGGGGAGGAGGACGAGGAAGAGGAGGAACAGGAGCAGGAGGAGGGGGACAAGGAGGAAAAACAGGAGGAGGAGGAGTTGGAGAATAAAGAGGAGGAAGGGGAAGAGGAGAAAACCGAGGAGGAGGAGGAGGAGGAGGAGGAGGAAGGAGAAGGAGGAAGAAGGCGGGGAGGAGGAGGAGAAGGAAGATGAGGAAGAGGACGAGGAGGAGGAGGGGGAAGAAGAACAGAAGGAGGAGGAGGAGGAGGAGGAGGAGAAGGAGGAGGAGCAGGAAAAGGAGGAGGAAGAGGAGGAGGAAGAGGAAATGTTGGGAGGATGTCTCGAGCGAAGCGCTGATTTTTCAACGAAAATGTTTAAAACACATGGTGTTACAATATTTTCGTTTCTTGGGCCATCTTGGGAGTCATCCGAGATCGCTCCGAGAAGATGCCTTACAAAAGCTTTGTCAGCATCTCATGTTTTCGAGGATGTCTCGGGCGAAACGTCCATTTTCGAGGATCCGAAAATTAGGCGAGCCCATGTTTAGCAACAGACGTCATCAGATACGGCCCCCAACTTCACGATTGTCTGAGGATGTCTCGAGCGAAACGCTCACTTTGGGAACCTTTCCTGACATGAACGGGAAGCGCGTGAAAGGGAAGACTGCGCAAGAACTTGCAGCATCATCGCGATCAAATGTAGTACAGGCGAGCTCTCCGAACGGTCACAAGGGATACGTATGGACACGCGCCCCCCGAACGTTCACAAGCATATTCCTGAGTATCCTCACCACTCTTCCGCATGAGGAAGACGACGGCGAATACGACGACCGGAAAAGAACGGATAGGAGGAGGAGGAGGAGGAGGAGGAAGAGGAGGAGGAGAAGGAGGAGGAGGAGGAGAAGGAGGAGAAGGAAGGTGAGGAGAAGGAGGAGGAAGAGGAAGAGCAGGAGGAGGGAGACAAGGAGGAGGAGGAGAGGGGGAGGAGGAGGAGGAGGAGGAGGAGGAGGAGAGGAGGTGGGAGGAGGAGGAGAGGAGGAGAAGGAGGAGGAGGAGGAGGAGGAGAGGAAGAGGAGAGGAGAAGGAGGAGGAGGAAGGAGGAGGAGGAGGACGGAGGAGGAGGAGGGAGGAGGAGGGACGAGGAGAGGAGGGAGGACATGAGCAGGAGGAGGGGGACAAAGGAGGAAGAGCACAGGAGGAGGAGGAGTTGGAGGAAAAAGAGGAGGAAGAGGAAAAGGAGAAGACCGACGAGGAGGGGGAGGAGGTGGAGGAGGAGGAAGAAAAAGGACAAGGAAGAAGGCGAAGAGGAGGAGGAGGAATATGAGGAAGAAGACGAGGAAGAGGAGGAGGAGGAGGAGGAGGAGGAGGAGGAAGAACAAAAGGAGGAAGAGGAGGAGGAGGAGGAGGAGAAGGAGGAAAAGGAGGAGGAGGAAGAGGACATGTTGGGCGGATGTTTCGAGCGAAGCGTTGACGTTTTAATGAACATGTTAAAAATACGTGGCGTTTCAGTACTTCCGCTTCTTGGGCCATTTTGGGGGTCATCCGAGATCGCTCCGAAAAGATGCCTTACACGAGTTTTGTCGGCATCCCATGCTTTGGGGATGTCTCGGGCGAAACGCCCATTTTCGAGGATCCGAAAATTAGGCGAGCGATTTCGAGATCCCGATTTTTGGAGGATGTCCCAGGCGAAACGCCCATGTTTAGCAACATACGTCTTAATATACGACCCCCAACCTCACGATTGTGTGGGGATGTCTTGAGCGAGGCGTTCATTTCGGGAATCCGCCAGGTCCCCGACCCCGAGGCGATCCCGAACGCCCCCCCCCCAGACCCCCCCCAGATGATAGAATCCCTCTGGGCGACAGACGTCCATCGCGCGACTCTTCGAGTCTTAGCGCGCTTCCCGCCATCCGCCAACGAAGCGTTCCAGCGCCACCCACCACCGTATACTTAGAGATTTCTTACATATATGAGGAGGATTCAGCCAAAACGTCCAGCTGCCTTCTCGTACCTCGAAGACGCTTCCCGTCATCCGCCAACGAAGCGTTCCCGTGGAATCCGCCACCAGATACTTGGAGATTGCTTACAAATACGAAGCGGATTCCGCCAAAACGTCCAGCTGCCTTCTCGTACCTCGAAGCCTGCTCATGTGTGTTTTGCCGTGCTCCTGCGCGTGCTGCCATGGTCCTGCGTGTGCTGCCATGGTCCTGCGTGCTTCGCCGTGCTTCTGTGTGCTCTGCTGTGCTCTAATGTATTATGCCGTGCTCCTGGGTGCTCTGCCGTGCTCCTATATGTTGTGCTTCTTCTGTTACGCTCCTGCATCTTCAGCCGAGCGTCGGCGGACATGCCGAAGGCGTTGGAATACCGAGTTGGGGAGGAGGGAAAGGAAGGAGAGGAGAGCGGGACGGGGTCGAAAACTCGCGGGGGGGGGGTGTGCCCATCCGAGGGAACGGTGCACCCCCCACCCCACTGGCGACGAGGCACAAGCTGTTTAGGAAAAAGAAAACCCTAACCCCCCCCCCTATCCCCCCCCGCGACCTGAGTGCACCACCCAGGCCAACGGAGGACGTCATAGGGGGCCGGGGCAGCACGTCGATGCGAGAAGGAAGGGGGAGAAAGTGGAGGGAGGATCGGGCAGACGGAAGCCCTTTTAGGCTTTCCCCGGCGCATGAGATTGCCATTTTGGCATGAATTGCGGGAGCGAACCCGAGTGTCGCTCGAAAGCGACTGCGAGCCAAGACTCTCTCGCGCGCGTGCCCCACACAGCAAAACCATACTAGGCCACCGCGACAAATCGAAGCGGGTGAACGTGCGGGGCCGCCAGGAGCGGCGTAATTTGCGGGAAGAACGAGATGCTGGGGAAACCTTTTCCATTCTGCGAAGTAGCGTGGACGCGTGGCCCGCGCGTCTGGGTCCGACCACAACTGCCCAGACTGTGCGGCGCGCCAATTTGCCAAGGTGGATGTGTCGGTGTTGGTGGCACGCAAACACCGTCTGCATGTTCAATGCCACGCAGACAGATGCAACGGCGCCGTTGCGAGGCACCTGAGAAGGCCCGGGCAGGGCTGCATTGAACACGCTGATTACCACAGACGTACTCCTGGGAGTGCCCGAGGCGCTGGAGCTGCGCGAACGGCACCCCGAGCTTGGGAGAGGCCGCGCAGCTGCCGGCTGCGACGCGGCTGCGCGCGGAGATGCTGCGCGCTTCCCGGCGGCAGAGGGCGCGCGGGTGATGCCGCCAGCCGACCAGGTGAGTCCTTCCCCCCTGCCATGGCATATCAGGTGGCGCCGCCACCTTCTACGACCCAGATGGTATATGTGGTCCACTTGTCAGTGGGCCCTCCTGAAGGCAATGGCTTTGCCAACGCCATGAGTGGTGTGTTCAATCCTGTCAGCGTGGCTCCGCTTATTGTGTTTCTCAAGTGACGCAGTTGCTCAATATGTCGGGATGCTGCGAGCTGAAAAGTTGCGTTGACTTGACCATGTGCAGGACTATCGTTGCGATGGTGACGGCGCCGCCCACCGGGTCGCGGTGCATGTGGAGGCCTAAATGTGTACAGATGGTGCTGCGACGGGCAGGGTACGTGTGGGGGGCTGAGAGAGTGTCGCCCAAGGATGCACAGAAGCTTGCCAAACAGAACCTTCCCATCAGATGTGCGATGGCCCCTTCGGCAGCTGCGCGCGTTTCGGGTTCATTCTGACTGCTCATTCACGCTGATGGGCAGTGGTGGCAACCACTCTCAATCTGGAAGGCGAACTGGATGAGAGAACTGGCAGCGTTCGTTGCCCACGGCCTTGAAAGTGTTCCACGGGCGTGCTTTTGGTGCTGGGCGCGAGGTCCCCTGGGTCCTGCTCGCGGTCAGGTGTCCGTGTGTCCTGGGCAGGAGGAGGGCCCGCAGCGACGAGGGGAGGTGCTCGAACCGTGGCCACCAGATCTCTGCAGGGACCCATGCTGCAGGAGGGCCCCCCTCCGACTTGGGTTGACTGGTGGCTGCGGCGCTGCGCGAGGCGCAGCCCAGGCTCGACCTGCAGCCCGACGGTGCAGAAGCCCCGTCCACCGAACATGGCCTCCACGGGTTCAAGTGCCTGCTGGACCCGCACGTCGAGGCGGCGACTGCCGCCGCCGCTGGGGCCGCGGGCCAGGCCGATGGCCCGCCGAGGGCGTAGCCAGAGAGCGGGCAGCCCGCTCCATCCTTGCTCCTCCCCCCCTCTTGCGCATGTCGGCACGTTGTGGGTTACTCCCCGGGGACTCATGTTTGGAGCAACGTACACAGGGGCTCCCAACTTCGCGCCTCGCGCTGCGCGCAACGCGAATGACTTCGCGCTTTCGCGCCGCCTCCCAGGGGAGAAGAGGGGGATGAGGAGTC